TAGGACTTTTCATGACAATGAGACATATCTGCTCCTGGTGGCACCAATCTATTTCGAGAGGAAGATCGGCATCGAAGAGGATCCTTATGGAGTTGGATAGCCATTTGGGCAAGAAACTGCTCTTGCCTGGACTGTTGCATAAAATGGACACAGAGAACCCTCAGAGAGAGGACTGCTGAACTTGCCTAAAGGTGAGATGGTCTTTCGGGGTTCCTGACTCATGAAAGAGTCTGCGAGACATTCTGCAGGACACAGCAGATAGTGACTGAACTGTCTTTGGAATTTCCTGCTTCATGGAAATGTCTGCTAGATACTTTGGGCCTGAAGGCTGAAGATGGATGCCCCAAAGGTACAAAAGAACTTTGGGTGACTGTCCAGGCAGCAAGATGTCTCTGTCATTTCTAGAGTTTTCTTATTTCTTGTTTACTTAGGTAGTATTATATCCTTCTGGAGTCTTTGATGGAGTTGAAGAATAAATAGATAGTTATAGTTTTCCTTAGTTATGATAAAAGATAAAATAGATATAAATATTGTAACTGTAATTCTTGCTTGATAACTGTTTTGCTATATGTAATTTTACTATGTTAAAGTTAAAGCCTTTCTTTTTTGTTTAAACAGAAAAAGGGGAAATGATGTGGGAGTGATTTCTTATTAATAAAGAAACTGCCTAGACCCATTTGATAGGCCAACCCTTAGGTAGGCAGAGTAAACAGAACGGAATGCTGGGAGAAAGAAGCTGAGTCAGGGAGTCACCATGATTCTCCCACTCCAGACAGACGCAGGTTAAGATCATTCCTGGTAAGCCAGCTCTTGGGCTACACAGATTAATAGAAATGGGTTAGATCAATATGTAAAAGCTAGCCAATAAGAAACTGAAACTAATGGGTCAGGCAGTGTTTAAAAGAATACAGTTTCCGTGTAATTATTTTGGGTAAAGCTAGCCGGGTGGCGGGACACAGCCCGCCGCTCCGTATTTCAACATCTAGGTGTCTGTTAAACCTTGTTGATATACCTCTCTTCTCTGCAGGATAATGATGCATGAAAAGGAAGAAATCACCCAGCCCTTGGGAGCCAGAGGCAGGAGGATCTCTGTGAATTTGAGGCTAGTCTGGTCTATAAAGTGAGTTTGAGATCAACAAGGGCTACTTAGTGAGACCCTCGTTTATTTTTTGTTTTAAAATTTTAATATTGGTCATAAACTTACCACATTTAGTGGACATAATACATAATATAAATACCTCAAACTGGGCCTGGTGGTATGCACCTGTACCTGTAACCCCAGTGCTCAGAGGCTGATGCAGGAGGATTGCATGGATGACATAGCAAGATCCTATCTCAGAAAAGGGAGATAATGGAGGCAGAGAGAGAGAAGAGAGAGAGAGAGAGAGAGAGAGAGAGAGAGAAAGAGAGAGAGAGAGAGAGAGAGAGAGAGAGAGGCACATGCTTTTAATCCTAGTACTCCAGAGGCAGAGACAGAGGCAGGTAGATCTCCGTGAGTTCGAGGCCAGCCTGGACTATAAATTGAATTCCAGGACATCCAGGGCTACACAGAGAAACCCTGTCTTGAAAAAACAAAATGCAAAAAAAAAAAAACAAAAAAACAAAAAAAGAAGAAGAAAGAAAAAAAAAGAAGCGGGGTGGGGGGGAGAAGTTGATTACATCTTGAGAACTTTGGCAGCTGTAAAATGAACTTGTCAGATCTGTGGGAAATCTAAGCAATGCCTAAGCTGCCATTCCCTGAATTCACCACCATCTATGCATTTTACAAACCTCACTGGACTCCAGTAAGCAATCAGTCCAGCAGGAATACTAAGGCACTCCCAAATCCGGATGGCTTCTCCAGTGACGACCTTTGACTAAAAGCTCTCCATCTGCCTCATTAAAATGTTCTTCATACATTATGACAACCTGAAACTCTTGCTGCCTTGAGTTCCTTCACAGGACCCAGCCTTACATTAGGATACGATGTCTCTCATGACCTCCTGTAAACTCTCCATTTACTGAGAGGAAATCACTTTCCAGTAAAAGGATTCTTTGGAGGCTACTTCCTGGAGGGCCTAAACTATCACAGCATCTCAGAGGCAAACGGATAGGAACTAAGGGAAAGGGGAAAAAATCTTCCAGCTGACAGAGGAAAACAATACACTGCATAATAAATGCCCACTGGCTTATAACAATTTACAGAGCAAATCCAGAAGACAGTAGAATGATACTGTGGCCTATTACCTAAAATTTAGTGAAGTCCATGGCTTGAATACATTAGTGCTAATGACTTTGGAGCAGCAACATAGGTCTGTAAGTAAAGGCATTTGCTGCCCAGCCTGACGACTTGAGATTAATGCTAGGAACCCATGTGGTAGAAGGACAGAGCTGTTTTTGTAACTTATCCTCTGACCTTCACATGCATGCCATAGCCTATGGCACATGCAAGTCCCTTCCCTGCAACAAAAGGTAAATAAATGGAAATTTTTAAATAAAAACCAGACTACTGTGTATTCTAAGAGAGAGTTCAATCTTTTAAAAATACATAACGGAAAGTTACTAGCTGAGCAAATTAATAAATTGAACCCAAGAGTCGCTTTTAGTTTCCAATGAAATAGAAGAAACACCTCTTAATTTCTAAGAGTGATTTTATTTAGGGCTGGAGAGGTGGCTCAGTGGTTTAGAGCACTTGCTACTCTCGCAGAGAGCCTGGGTTCAGTTCCCAGCACCAACACAGGAGCTTGCGACAATCTATAACTCCAGTTCTGAGGGATTCAGCACCCTTTTCTTGTCTCTACAGACCCCAGGCACACATGCAGTGCACATACACACATAAAAATTAAAAAAAAACTTTAAAACTTTAAAAGATTATGGTATCCCAAAGTATACATTCATTATTTACTATGATTTTATTTACTCTACAACTACTTAATTAGTGCCTACAATGTGCTAATTATAACACCTAACTTAATTTTGTCTACTGGTGAAAGAGACAATGAATAAACATTGGCAGGGGGTAACCCTCTATGCCCGTTTTCCTCCTGTGTAATTCCAGAGGCCCCACCTCTTTCAGCAATCACTCTGTTTACTCCCTCCTCCAAGTTACTTCTCTCTTTTAGCACCAAACTTATCCTCCTTTTGCTACTGCTTTATACCTTCATTTGAACAGGTTCTACTTTTCTTTTGCTTAGTGAATAAAGTTTAACTCCTTGGCTGGCATTTACCTTTCTACCTCTTTCCCTATAACTTCTCATGTCCTACAGCCCTGCCTCATTAGTCGGGCTATTCACCAGAAAAAATGCAAACTTGTTTTCAGAGTCCCATTGGGGATGCAATTGTTTGAGAATGGAGGTGGTTCTGCACACCCCACGGTTAGAGCAATGACTATTGTAGCTCTCACGACTGATGAGCAGGTGGCCTCTAAGCACTCCCTTCAGAGGACACCGCAGAGCTGCACACACCTGTCTCTTTGAAGTCAGACTGACACGACTTGCTCTGGGGAATCAAATGTGAGAACTCACATATATTTTATCTAGATAAAAGCTATACAGTTCTTTCTTTTCTTTCTCCTCCTCCTCTTCCTTTTTGAAACAGAGTATCTCAATAAAACCCTGGCTGTCCTGGAACTTGCAGTGTAGACCAGGCTGACCTTGAAATCACAGGGAAGTTGGGAAGGAAAATGTTTATTTGGCTTACACTATCATTGAAGGTAGTTGGGACGGAAACTCAAACGGGGTAGGAACCTGGAGGCAGGACCTGATGCACGGTGAAAAGTTTAGAAGACTTTAAGCCCTGTAAGACATTGTTTCTTGTCAATATTTATTTCACTTTATATGTATACACACACATGTGGTTTTCCTGCATGTATATATGTGCACCAGGTGATGCCTGGTGTGTTGTGAGGTCAGAAGAGGATGATAGAGCCCCTGGAACTAGAGTCACAGATGGTCTCTGGCCACCATGTGGGTGCTGGCAATTAAGCCCAGGTCTCTGTAAGAGCAGCAAGTGCTCTGAACTGCTGAGCCATCTCTCTACCCAGAAAACATCTTAAACTCAGTGCGGCAGGTAGTGGTTGCTCAAATAAGTACTTGTGGAACTAGGAGCTGAGGATACTGCTCAGTTGGTAGTTTGTCTAACATATGCAAAGACCTGGGTTTGATCTCCAGCACCACAAACCACAGGCATGGGGGCCCACATTTGTTATTACAGCACAGAGGAGGTGGAAATAGGAGAACCAGAAGCTTAAACTCAATATATTTGTATTTATTGAGTTAACGGATGTGTTTTTTGAGTGCCACTACGTAGTCCTGGCTGACCTGGAACTCACAGAGATCCATTTAATCCGCCCAAGCACTAGGATCAAAGTCATGTACCATGACTCCTGGCCCTTGGCTGGAATGTTAGAAAGTGAATTATATGTACCCCTAAAGGGAACTATGTCGATGGTTCTTTCTGTCTACAACACTGTCTGTGCCTACAATGTGCTAATTATAACACCTAACTTAATTTTGTCTACTGGTGAAAGAGACAATGAGTTAAGTATCGGCAAAACGTGGGGCATAACTTTACTTGTATGTTTATATTAAAACGGTAGCCCCCGAAAGCCAAAACAAAACAAAACCAAGGAAATAAAATTTCCCCTATAGCATGTCTTGACGGTATTTGTGTTTACAGCGCGACATGGGTCCCAGTCTACACGGTATAAGTAAGCACCGGGTTCTAAAACAAGATTTGTCATAAACGAATGGCTTGACCACTGACACTCACATGTAAGGGAGCCGCTGACTCTCTAACCTCTGAGCAGCTTGGTAACAAGCCTCGGGAAGAGATAGTAAGGTCCACAGGGAAAGGACTGAGATAGGAGAGGCAGCACCAACCCCTTCCCCCACGCCTACTCCTTCTCCCTAGAGGCCGCCGCGCGCAACGCGCAGACGCACCCAGCGCTCGGCCACGCCCCCTTAGGTTCCGCCTGCGCGCGCAGGCGTCAGAACCCTCACTTCCGGGGCGTGGCCCCGCGGGTGGGGGGGGCGGCACTGGCAGAGGCGGTCGGGCACTGGAAGTGGACTTACCCGGTTTCACTGCACCTTGGCCGCGAGCAGGAGCTGCGGTGCCCGCGGACCTCGGCCGTGCGGCTCCCGGAGCGAACGCGACGCTGCGGCTCGGGCCTCGTTCCCCGCCACGCGTCGGGCAGCGTGTCCCGGAGCCTCGGGCACGCCAGGTGAGTGGTCCGGCCGCAGTGCGCCCGCTCCGCCCGAGGAGCCTTGTGATGCCACCTCAGGCCCTTGTCCGTGCAGGTGTCACCCGATCCGGGAACGCGTTGAAAGCGTCCTCGCCCCCACCCCGAAACCTCCGCCCTGTAAACTCTCCACGGCTTGGGTGTTGGGATTCGGCTTCTTTTCGTACAATTTGTTGGTGGTGTACTGCTTCTTGGTGGTTTAATTATTTCTCCTTTGTATTTGTCCTTAGTTTTAATTTTAAAATGTATTGCTATTCTGTGTGTATGATGTAGATGTGGGCTCGCGAGTGGAGGTCAGAGGGCAGCCTATGGAGTTGGTTCCCGTCATCCCAGGGGTCCCAGAGTTGAACTAAGGTTGCCAGGCATGCTGGGCAAGTGCCTTTACTAGCTGAGATAACGCACCGGTTTTTTTTTTTTGTTGTTGTTGTTGTTTGTTATTCATTTTTTTTGTTTAGGTGTAATACCTAAACAAAGATCTTTCTTTTTACTTCTTTCGTTTAGTTTTTTTTTTTTTTTTTTTTTTTTTTTTTTAATTTGGAGACAGTTTCTCTGTGTAGCTCTGGCTGTCCTAGAGCTCTCGCTTTGTACACCAGACCGGCCTCAAACTCAGAGATCACCTTCTTCTGACTTCTTCTAGTGCTGGGATTAAAGATGTGTGCCACCAGAACATGCTTAAAGTTGGCTATTTCTTACTTTAGAGCCCAGTGTTCTAACGAAGGCTTATGACATTTTTGATTGGGTACTGTGGAGAAACTTTATCCCTCGAAGCATTTGTTTCATTAAGTATGTGACTGCAAAATTGCATACATAGACTTGTAATTTTAAAAAGGCTGCAAAGAGAAGTCTTCATCATGCAACAAGGCTCACACAGGAGGTTTAATGGAAGAGGAGAGAGAAGGGGCAGAGACGGGGGCAAAGACTGGTCCTTGGGACGAGAGTGATAGAAGAGATAGAGGAAGGAAAGAGAGCAAGAAAGAAAGAGAGGGGGGAGAGAAAAATGAGATGGGAGATGGGCAGGCCATCTTTTAAAAGGGAACGTAGCGAATATGTACGGGAGGTGCTCTTAGTGGCTACAACTAAGGACGTTCCCTGTCAGAACTGTAAGGGCAGGCCAGTACCGACACCTAAATGATGCCGTTTTCTCTTAAAATAAATCAACCCTTTAGTTCCTGCTGGAAACATTGATGTTTCAGAATGTGTGCACTTAAAGCAGGTGTCAAGAAATATTCTTGTCATGTTACTAGAAGTCTAAATGTCTTAATATCCTGTTGTGTTTTCTGAAGCAGATGGTTTGGTAATTAGTAAATTTTCATACCAAGGATTAGGAGCAGAACTTCCTCCTACCGACACTGGCAACTTGTGAACTGTATCATGCTTAAAAAAAAAAAAAGTCAGTGTTGATCAACTTTCAGTCCTCAAAGACCACAAAAAACCCTGTGAACCTTTGTGGCGTTTATTATCCAAGAAAGCTGTAGCTGTGTGTGTAAATACAATCTTCAAAGGATTTTGTGTTTGGTTTTGAAACTGCTACCAAAATTTTGATAAATATTAAGGAAGGATTAGAGGATCTTGTTGAATTTGCTGTATTTGTGTTTGAAACAGCATGCTTTTTGTTTTCTTTTCTACTTGACTGTGAAAAAAGATATGATTCATGTAGATGAAATGCTAAATGGATTTTGCTTGTGGTGTTTTTTGATACGCTTGAGTGCTGCTTTGAAGTTACTTTTCAGTTGTTTTTTTTAAAAATATTTCTTTATTTATTATGTATACAATATTCTGTTTTTGTGTATGCCTGCAGGCCAGAAGAGGGCAGCAGACCCCATTACAGATGGTTGTGAGCCACCATGTGGTTGCTGGGAATTGAACTCAGGACCTTTGGAAGAGGAGGCAATGCTCTTAACCTCTGAGCTGTCTCTCCAGCCCCTACTTTTCAGTTGTTACACTTACTAATTAATCTGTTTTGTTCAAGATGAACTGAAAGTACCAACACCTGTAGAGTGGATTTTTTTTCCTGAAGAGGTTTATATGTGTATGCATGCAAGCATGCATCTTGTATTTTAGTAATGATATCTTTATTATGCTTGGGTGTTTATCATTTGATGGTTATAAAGGCTAAAAAAAGATCTATACCATGCTTTGTTCTGGGGGGAGGGGTGTCAGTTTTTGTGCTTATTCTTGTCATTGGTGACTGGGTAAATTACAATGTAGCCATTTTCACATCCCAGAGGTGAACTTCCTGAAATTGCTTGTCTGCCTGTAGCCCCTTTGAAAGTCCTTTTTCAGGTGGGCCTTAAGACCTGAGTTCAAAGCCTGTAAGCCAGCAAGGGTTGAAGGAGAGAACTGGCTCCAAGGTTGTCCTCTGACCTCCACATGTGGCATGTTACACACACAACAACAACAAAAAAAAAGTTGCATGGCATATTCAGATGCCTTCAGGAGGATGCTGGATTAGATTTTTGGTTAGAGACTTTATTTTTAATAATGTGTATATGTGTGTGTCTTTGGGAATGGGCACAGGTGAGTTAGAAGATATCAGATCCTATGGAGCTGGAGTTACAGGCAGTTACTCGGCCACTTTTTCTTTTAAATATTTTTTATTGTTTGAAAATAGACTATAGTCAGGCAGTGGTGGCGCACGCCTTTAATCCCAGCACTTGGGAGGCAGAGGCAGGCAAATCTCTGTGAGTTCGAGGCCAGCCTGGACTACAAGAGTTAGTTCCAGGACAGGCTCCAAAGCTACAGAGAAACCCTGTCTCAAAAAAAAAAAAAAAAAAAAAAAAGAAAAGAAAAAGAAAGAAGAAAATAGACTATATTTATACAGTGTTTTTTGATCGTACCCATCCAGCACTACCTCTAACTCCCTCTAGTGCCCCCATCTCCCCAACTTTAGATCCTCAGTTTTTATTAATGACCATTCTTTGACAGCCATCAGCTGCCAATAACTAACTCCTCATATTGCAGAGGTGAACTTCCTGAAATGGCTTGTCTCTAGCCCCTTTGAGGACACCTTGCCAGGCATGCCTTACATCATCGGTTCAAATCCTGGAACCCAGGCCAGGGTGGAGAGAGAATCCATTCCACAAGGCTGGCCTCTCACCTCCACATATGTGTATGGCACTCAGTTCTTTATTGCTAGCTTTTGTTTATTTGTGTGTATATATTTGAGACAGGCTGTGCTGTGGTCCAAACTGTCTCTGTAGCCAAGGATGAGACCTCTCTGCCTTCACTACCTCAGCTATTCAGTCTATTTCTGCCTGTATCTTCAAAGAAATTCCTTGCAACTTGTTGCTCCTTAAATGTTTCTTGAGTGGTTGACCTATGTTCACTACAGTAAAAATGGCAGTTCTCAGTGGAGCCCAGCCTAACAGCCTTTAACAATTACATGGCTACACCCTGTTGGATGGCTACTGCTCAGCGTTTGGATTTCTTTTCTCTTCTCTGCAGCTCTTTAGTTTCTGGCTTTTCTTTTCTTTTCTTTTTTTCCTAATTGTACATTGGAGGTGGGAGAATGAGATAGTACTTTGTCTCTCTGTGGAGGAACTCTTCCCTGTCAGATATTAAGTTTGTTAAAACAGCTCTAAGGTTTTTCTTAATGTAATTAAATTTATGCTTGAATTAAAATTCCTGTTGTAGCTTTTTCAGTTTGAATAAGTGAATTTAGTCATTGGCTTAATTATATGCAAGTCTTGTAAACAAAACAGAGCATGCTGAGTAATTAAAGGAAGGACTTGGAGATGAAGCAGCAGATTGTCTTTCTAACAACTAAGATTCTGAATTTTGAGGCAACAGTTTTTTGAGCTAGTAGGTAATGTTTACAGTTAATAGTAATTGTAACTATTTAATTAAAGTTTTGCCTCTTAGCTTTTTCCTCTACATAGATTCTCTTCCCCAAGTACTGCCAGATACTATACTGGATAAACCATTTTCCTGCAGTAGACTTTCAGAAATGATAAGGGAAATTGAAGAATTTCATAAATACCAGTGTTAATATTCTGACTTAGGATGCTGGAGAGATGGATCAGCGGTTAAGAATACTTACTGCTTGGGGCTGGAGAGATAGCTCAGCAGTTAAGAGCACTGACTGCTCTTCCAGAAGACCCGGGTTCAATTCCCAGCACTCACATGGCAGGTCACAACTGTCTGAAAATGCAGTTCCACGAGATCTGACACCTTCACACCAATGCACATAAAATAAAATTAAATAAATCATTAACAAATTGAAAAAAAGAGAACACTTACTACTGTTCCAGAGGACCTGGGTTCAATTCTCAGGACCCACATGGCAGCTCCCAACTGTCCCTAACTTCAGTTCCAGGGGAATCTGACACCCTCACACAGAAATACATGTAGTCAAAACACCAATCTACATAAAATAAAAATTATTAAAAAAATATTCTGGCTTAGATATTGCTAAAGTAATAGAAAGTGATGATTTTTTTAAAAATCTGACATTTAGTGAAATAAGGGTGCTTTAGTAGTATATGTGTAAACACTTTGTTTTCTTTGATAGCCAGGGATTCTGCATGTTATATGTTAATGTGGCCTTGGAGTGACTTTCTGTTACTTGTCTATTAGAATGGTAACTAACAGGTGGCATGGTAACTCAGCCGTATCCCAGCACTTGGGAGGCTGAGCAAGAGAGCTAACTAAGGTGGGTTCTTGACCAACCTGAGCTGGTGTGACACTCAGCCACTCCCCCTGCCTGAAAAAAAGAAAGAAAAATAGTTGGCGTGAAAGGAATTTTATCTGACTGGAAAGAGAAATTCAAAACATACAGTTGAAGAAAGATAGAAATAACTTTTATGAGCTTTGAGTCCTGAACCATGACCCCTCCCCAATAGAGCAACTTATCCAAGACCATAGGGATCAGCTGTACACTTCAGAGCAGGCCAGGTTCCTCTCCACTTATGCCACTGCCCAGACTAGGCACCACCATAGTGCTGAGATGGTTTCAGGGCAGAAGTACTCATGGAGGAATCAAATGGGCCTGGAGAGATGGCTGCTCTTCCCGAGGACCCAGGTTCAATTCCCAGCAACCACATGGCTGCTTCCAAGCATCTGCAACATCAGTGTCAGGGAGTCTGATGCCTTCCTCTATCCTCTGTGGGCACTGCATGCACTTGGTGCACACACATTCAGGCAAAACACCTAAATACAAAAAGTAAAAATTCAAAAAAACTAATCAAATAATAATCCTGACTTGGTGGGTTGAACTGAGGATCAAGGAGTGTGAGGTTTTTGAGGAATAGAAGCTAGACCAAGGGAAAGGGGTTTTGTGTTAGGACAACACAACAGTCATCCATTCAAAGGTGTTTTGAGGTCTGTGTGCCAAGCATGTCCTTAGTGCTGAGGGTACAGCAGGTAACAGAGGTAGAGTCTCTGCTATGGAGCTTTATTATTAAGGTGAAATATCCGTGGTTACAACTTGCGGCGGTCATTATTTATGTCGCGGGATTTTTTTTCCTTCTTTTTCTTTTGTTCCTTAGATGCTGGGTCTTGAGTTACTGATAAGATGGCCTAACCTCAATTCATGCCTATACTGCTATGTCCTTGTAAGTTACCGCACAGCCTACTGCTAACACACATACAGTTACTGCAGTTACTGCTAACACACATACAGTTACTGCACAGCTTACTGTTAGCACACACTCAGAGTTACTGCACAGCCTACTGCTAACACACATACAGTTACTGCACAGTTACTGCTAACACACATACAGTTACTGCACAGCTTACTGTTAGCACACACTCAGAGTTACTGCACAGCTTACTGTTAACACACACACTCACAGTTAACTGCACAGCTTACTGTTAGCACACACACTCACAATTACTGCACAGCTTACTGCTAACACACACAGCTACTACACAGCTTACTGTTAACACACACACAGTTACTGCACAGCTTACTGTTAACATACACAGCTACTACATAGCTTACTGTTAACACACACAGTTACTGTACAGCTTACTGTTAACACACACTCACAGTTACTGCACAGCTTGCTGTTAACACACACAGCTACTACACAGCTTACTGTTAACACACAGTTACTGTACAGCTTACTGTTAACACACACTCACAGTTACTACACAGCTTACTGTTAACACACACAGTTACTGTACAGCTTACTGCTAACACACTCACAGTTAGTGCACAGCTTACTGCTAACACACACACTCACAGCTGCTCTGGGTCAGGAATGTGTGGATTTGTGATGCCTCTGATTCAGTCTTTTACCAAGCTGTGATGAAGATGTCATCCAGGACTGCAGTCATCTCAAGACATAACCAAAGGAGCATTCAAGCTCATTCATGTGATTGCTAACTGGATTCAGGGCCTTGTGGGTTCTTGGTGTGAGAACCTCAGTTTATCACTAATTGCTGCCCTGAGACCGCCCTCATTTCTTTGTGGTGTGAGCCTCTTCACAGAGGACCTTGCCACATAACAGCTGGTTTCCTTTGAGTGGATAAGCAAGAGACAGTGAGTAGGATGGAAGTCACAGCTTAATACCAGGAGGAAAATCTCATCCATCCTTTTAATTAGCCCAGACTGGCTTCAAGCTCAATATACAACTGAGGATGGCTTTGACCTTCCAATTGCTAGGATTACAGGTGTTTGCCCCCTGTACCTGATTTTTTGATTCACATTTCTCTCCTCCCCCTCTTTAGATTGGTATATTCCATATACATTCTTAGGTATACATGTATATTTTAAAATGAGTGTTTATGTAGCATAGGTAATTTTTACTTTAATAAAATGATATTCATTTTTTTTTCTTTTTTTCTTTTTTTTTTTTTTTTTTTTTGTTTTTTCGAGACAGGGTTTCTCTGTGGTTTTGGAGCCTGTCCTGGAACTAGCTCTTGTAGACCAGGCTGGTCTCGAACTCACAGAGATCCGCCTGCCTCTGCCTCCCGAGTGCTGGGATTAAAGGCGTGCGCCACCACCGCCCGGCATAAAATGATATTCAAATTAGACATTGTTCTATGTCTAGGATTTTTGTTCCCCAATCGTTTATTTTTGATGATCTATTTATTTTGCTATTTATAAAGTTGTTTATTGCTTCCATGTACTATATGTTTACTGTGTTCTTTGCCAGTTTCCTAACAGAACAGATTGCCTCCAACTTTTTTGTAGTGTTTTGTATTTGAATATATGAATTCTACATAATATGGGCTGACATTTTCATACATACACATAATATATTTTATATTTTCCCTGCCTCTAATTTTTTGATAATTCAAATAGTTCTATCATTAATGTTCAAGACCAAGTCCTTTGTGAGGCTTTCTCTGAAGTCTTTTATAACATTTCTACATAGAGCCATTGATACATACATATATGTATATATATCATATGTATTATATATATATGATATCTAAGTATTCCTTGATTGTTCTTTAAAATGAGTGTGCAACTTTATTCTCACAAACTGTTCCTTTCTTACAAAATTCATGCTCATATTTAGCATTATTGAACTTGCTTTTGTTTTTTGTTTTTCAAGACAGGGTTTCTCTGTGGTGTAACTCTGGCTCTCCTAGAACTTGCTCTGTAGACTAAGCTGGCCTCAAACTTACAGAGATCTGCCTTCCTCTGCCTCCCTAGTGCTTAGATTAAAGGCATGCACCACCACTTCCCAGCCTTATATTTTTTTTAAAAAAAGTTTTATTTTTATTTATGCATATAGGTGTGTGCCTGTGTGAATTTATGTGTACCACTTTCAGGCAGGTGTTGACAGAGGCAAGAGGATGTTGGAATCCTGAAATAGAGTAACACACAGTTGTGAGCCACTGTGTGCAAAAGCAGTCAGTGCCCTTAACCACTGAACTATGTTCCACCCATGTAATAATTATCCATTACTGCCCAATAGTTCCATTTGGATATTTTATTGTGTAAATTGAGGGTTTTTTCCCCACCTCTGGTTCCTGAAAAAACACTCAGAGACTTATATTAATTATAAAAGTTTGGCTGATGACTCAGGCTTATTATTAACCAGCTGTTTTAAATTAACCCATTTCATTTTATGTTTTACCATGAAGCTCATGGCTCATCCTCCTTTTCTGGTGACTGCTGGGTGTCTCCCTCAACTCTGCTTTTTCTGCCTTGTATTTAGTTTGGCTTTCCCGCCTAGCTGTATTCTGCCCTGCTATAGGCCAAAGTAGCTTTGCTCATCAACCAATAAAAGCAACACATATTCGCAGTGTACAGAAGGACATCCCACATCATCTCCCCTTTTCTGTCTAATTAAAAAGGGAGGTTTTAACTTTAACATTATAAAATTACATATAACAAAACAGGTATCAAGCAAGAATTACAGTTACAATATTTAGTCTATTTGTATTTGGCAAAATTAAAGAAAATACTCTATCTATTTTATCTTTGTTTAAAAACTTACTTTGTCAGTGTTTGGGCAGTTGTACACTGTGGTGTATGCACATGGAGGTCAGGACAGAATGGTCTCACTGACCCCATTGTAAACTTCCTTATTAAAGGAGTCCTGCAAAGTATATATATTTTTTTTTTTTGGTTTTTTTTCGAGACAGGGTTTCTCTGTGGTTTTGGAGCCTGTCCTGGAACTAGCTCTTGTAGACCAGGCTGGTCTCGAACTCACAGAGATCCGCCTGCCTCTGCCTCCCGAGTGCTGGGATTAAAGGCGTGCGCCACCACCGCCCGGCTGCAAAGTATATTTTTAAGAAGCTTTGTACTTACTTTTTAAGAGATGTATAACGTGAAAATGTTTCTTGTTTCTTCTTTTCTTAGCTTACGTATGAGCATGAGTCTTCTCATGATAAGTGAGAATGTAAAATTGGCTCGTGAGTATGCCTTGCTGGGAAACTATGACTCTGCGATGGTCTATTATCAGGGAGTTCTCGACCAAATGAACAAGTATCTGTATTCAGTCAAAGATACATGCCTCCAGCAGAAATGGCAGCAGGTAAGAATCATGGCTGCTAGGTTTAATACTCAGAAAATTTACATTGACTTTCAATGCTGTACATGCATTCAGAGAGTATAAGCTTTTTTGTTTGTTTGTTTAGTTGGTTGGTTTTTTGAGACAGGATTTCTTTGTGTAGCTTTGGCTGTCTTAGAACTAGCTCTGTAGACCAGGCTGGAGTTGAACTCACAACTGGTCTAAAGTATACTCTGGCAATCTGAATAAGTAAGCTCTAGAGCCGGTGAATGAGTGCAAGCAGGGCAAGAGCAAACGTTCTTCTTCCTTGTCCTTTATACAGGCTGCCATGAGAAGATGTGGGTCTTCCCCCTCAACTGATCCAATTAACTAAACATCCCTAACAGGTGTGCCTAATGGCTTGGCGTTTTAGTTAATTCCAGAGGTAGTCAGGTTGACAACCAAGACTCGTTGTCATGGTGAGCAGCAGCCCTTTAATATCAATAGTGTTGTGACCTCTGCTTCATTATTCTGATTATTGTAATCTATTAATACTTTTAAAGTGAAAGTTCTTTTTGTTTTTTTTTTCTTTTTCTTTCTTTCTTTTCTTTTTGCTTTTCAAGACAGGGTTTCTCTGCAGCTTTGGAGCCTGTCCTGGAACTAACTCGCAGAGATCCGCCTGCCTCTGCCTCCCAAGTGCTGGGATTAAAGGCGTGCACCACCACCACCTGGCCCTTCTTATTTTTTTTTTAAGACAGGGTCTTTCTCTGTGGCCCTGGCTGTCCTAGAGTTTGCTGTGTGGGCTATGGTGGCCTCGTACTCAATCATCCTGTCTCTTCCTGCCCATTCTTAGGATTAATGGCTTGCACCACCACATCCAAGCCCTGCAGTTGATTTGTTAATGTCGTTGCTGAAATTGCAAATGACAGCAAATTCTTGCAGAACCTATTTCCTATAGAACTTTACAAAGCTGATCATATTTGAATCCCATTTAAGGAATTTTAGACACAAGGACCAGAAGAAAATTATAATTAGAAATCCTGGAACTTATAAAATCTAGTCTAGGGCAGCATTTTCCAAAGTTCAGCTGTTAGAACAGAACATTACAGAAATGTGTGGTTCCTTAGGCTGAAATTGTTGTGAACTGTTCATTCCTGGATGCTGTGTAAATACAGTACCACACTTGTCTGTAACACTTGGAGAGAAGTAGCCTCTTTTGGAAAATAACTTTTTCTTAAATTGGACTGTCCATATTCATGTTTCTGGGAGAGAAACATACTTTAAAAATATATAAATCGCTTTAAATGTATAGTTCAGTATAAAGTTCTAAACATATTGAAACTTTATACTATTAACACTCAGTAGTGTTAAATACATTCAGAATGTTGTACAACCATTACCCTGTGTAATGAAATTCGATCATGGTTTTAAAAATTAACTAACCCTGATATGCACACCTGCAATCCTAGCACCTTGGAGGCCCAGGCAGGAGAATTGTGACTTTGAGGCCGCTGTACAATACTCATGGAACCTTGTTTAAAACCAGAATCATTTGGTTAAATAGTATAAATCCATCAAAGGGTAACCTGCAGAAGTTTTGTTCTTGTCAAACTTGAAAGTTGCAGCTAACCTTTCAGTTGTTGCAAGGTTTGAAGAAGGATTATGTGGGCATTAGTCGGGCGGTGGTGGTGCAGAGGCAGGCGGATCTCTGTGAGTTTAAGGCCAGCCTGGTCTACAGAGTGAGTTCCAGGACAGCCAGAGACTGTCTCCAAAAACAAAAAAGCAAAAAGAATTATGTAGGTATCAATTTAATTAGCCAGGGTTTGTCCTAAAAGATGTTATTTTATGTGTGTGAGTGTTTTGCCTGCATGAGTGGCAGTGCACAAAATGAATACGTTGCCTAAAGAGGCCAGAAGAGGGCAGCAGATCCCTTGTGGAGTTAGCAGATGGTTGTGAGCAGCCGTGCAGGTGCTGAGAATCAAACCCGGGTCCCCTGGAAGAACAGCTCTTACCTCTGAGACGCCTCTCCAGCCCCTTAGCTAGCATTTTAAATCATTCTTTCAGAATTAATTTTGAGAACAGAAAATCAGTCGTTGCAATTTTGTAAGATGTTTGATGTAGTTTGCTCACTCTCGATCAGTTGGGGCTTCTAACATAGGAAATGGCCCTAAATGAAAGGAATTTAGTCATATTCTTCTTTGAAACCAGGTTTGGCAGGAGATAAATGTGGAAGCTAAGCATGTTAAGGACATCATGAAAACGCTCGAGAGCTTTAAACTGGACAGCACTCCTCTAAAAGCTGCGCAGCATGAGCTTCCGGCTTCTGAGGGAGAAGTGTGGTCCTTGCCTGTACCCGTTGAGCGAAGGTAAGTGGAGACTTTTTAAGAAGATTTGCCCAAGAAGCTGACAGATTTTGCCTTGGCCATATCTAGGAGATGGACTAGGTTGCTGGGAGACAGGGACATGGGGAACATTTGTACTGAAATGTCCTTTTAGAATTGTTTAAATGTGTATCAAATTGAGGTGGAAAGTAGCCGGAACTGCTGGTGCATGGGCTGAAAGTAGCTGACTCAGCTTACAGACTGAGGACATCTGGGAACTGGAGTTTTCTTCACTCTGTGACTGCTGGAAAACCATGCATGCATCTGTAACTCATATTTTCCACATGTAAATCGAGGGATTTAGACTGGCAGGCTTTTGAACCTGCTTGGCTTTCTTTGGCATTTATGCCCAGTTTTCTACTAAGAGACAGCAAATGAATAATCAGTAAAGTGCCAGGTGGTATCTGGTGGCTCGTGTCTTTAATCCCAGCACGTGGGTGGCAGCGGGACACAGATCTCTGAATTTAAGGCCCACCTGGTCTACAAAGTGAGTTCCAGGACAGGCAAGACTACACAGAGAAACCCTGTCTTGAAAACAAACAAAAAACAAAACAAAACAACAACAACAAAACCCCGACAACTAAGGTGCACTGACTTTAGATAATATACTTTCTTTTCATTGAAGTATACCCTGAGGTACTTGAGAATAGGCCCTTTTCCTTTTTGTTCTTTTTGGGTTTTGTGTGTTTTTATTCATCCCACATTAATCAAAGAGCCACTAAATATGGAGGTCTACATTCTGCCACTGAGTCAAAATGAAATAAGCGGGTGATATATGAGCATGAGGCATCTTCCATGAGATTTTGAATTTCCACCGGTATTTATTTTTATTTACCTATTTTATGTGTGTGAATGTTTTGTCTGTATGTATATGTGTATACCACCTGTGTGCCTGGTGCCTGTCATTTTTACATAGTTTCATGTATTGTTTCCTGGCCTGTCCATGTTTTGAGGTTGATAAAGTTCTGCTAGTTCCTGAAACTGGAGTCACAGGCAGTTGTGAGCTGCTATGTGTGTTCTGGAAACTGAGAATCCAGGTCCTCAGCAAGAGTAACAACTGCTCTTAATTGCTAAGCCATCTCTTCAGCCACCACCCTTTTTTCCCTTTTCTTTTTTTGTTTCTTCCTTCCTTCCTCCCTCCCTCCCTTCCTTTTTTTTTCTTTTCTATTTTGAGACAGGGTCTAATTATATAACCCTAACTTTGGATTTGTTGTGTATGCCTGGTCTCTAACTCACAGTGATTCATCCACATGCCTCTGTCTTTCAAACGCTGGGAGTAAAGGTCATGTACCACTGTACCCACCTTTCATCCTAGTCTTTTAGAATAGGGAAATTATTAAAACCTTTAGCTAAACCACAAGATTATAATATATTCTAAGTAGACTCACACTGAATTGCTTCTGTAGCCGTGGTAGAAGAAATCCAGCATTTGCATTTTGGTTCTTCTGATGAACATTGTTTTCTGATAACTGCTCCTTGCTGCACAGTAATGTCCTAAATAGGAGTGACTTTTACTTCCCTTGTTTCTAAAGTATGACAGTACTGCATCCCTGTCATTGGCCATAGCAGTTTACCTGGGTTTCAAGCATCCTAAAGTTTGTGCTCGGTGTTTGCCTTGACTTCTTTAGTTCTTTTCATTAGCTGGGTGTGTACCCTGCTACTTCAGGAATTAAGTATGATTTTAATGATCTTGTGTTGTTTAGACCCTCACCAGGACCTAGGAAACGTCAGTCTTCTCAGTACAATGACCCTAAACCACATAGTAACCGCGCAGGCACAGTCGTCAGAACTCACCGTCCGTCTGCACAGCATCTTCACAATGACAGAGGGAAAGCTGTTCGTAGTCGGGAAAAGAAAGAACAGAATAAAGGAAGAGAGGATAAGGTAAATGTTGTGGCCTTCGAAAGTGAAAGGTGGAGCTTGGGAGATGGCGCAGTGGTTAAAGTACGTTTAGTGCTCTTCCTGAGTTTGATTCCTAGCAACTCCATCAGAGCGCTCAATCTCCTCTGCCTCCATCTCCAGAGAACCCCACACCCATGTGACATACTTAAACACACAAACCAACGAAAGTGAGATTTACTTACTTGATGTGTATGGATGTCTTGTCTGCATGTTCATTTCCACATCAGAAGAGAGCACTGGATCCATAGGACGGTTACAGACAGGTGGAAGGGCCATGTGAGTGCTGGGAATTGAGCTCAGAATTTCTTGGAGAGAAGCCAGTGCTCTTAACTACTGAGTTTTCTCTCCAGTCCCCATGAAACAAAATGGTTTTTGTTTTTGTTTTGTCTTTTTTTCCCCCCAAGATAGGGTTTCTCTGTGTAACAGCTCTTGCTGTCCTGGAACTTGCTTTGTGGACCAGACTGGCCTTGAATTCACAGAAATTTGCCTGCCTCTGCCTCCCAAGTGCTGGAATTAAAGGCTTGTGCTACAACTGGTTGGCCAGAACTAAAAATTAATTTAATTTTTGCTTAAATTAAGTAGATACACATCTATCTATCTATCTATCTATCTATCTATCTATCTATCTATCCATCCATCTATCGATCGATATGGGGGTTGTGAAGTGACTTGCTGATAGTCATTTTATGACTTCTGAGTACAGAAGTCTTCTATATCTCTTTATTCTCCCTTTTTACAAATAAAAACATTTCCTTTGTATTAATTTAGAACTGCATTAGACTTGTGCTTTTGTTGTTTAATGTAATTTAGAAAACTTGGGGAAATAAAACCTGCCATGTTTACATAGTTCCATGTATCGTCCTGACCTGTCCATGTTTTGAGGTTGATAAAGTTCTGCTAGTTTCTTATCTGAGGTTTGCTTGTCTGTTTGTTTTGAGGGGTGTGGTTTTGGTTTGGTTGGGTTTAGTGAGGTGTCTCTCAGTCCTCTTGTTCCTAATTCCCAAGGGCTGGGCTTCTGGGCCTGTGTTCCTACGCCTGTCTTTTATCCTCTTCCTTTCTTGAGGCTACTGTGCTGAAAGGACTCTGGGTTTCCTGTGCACTTGGTAGATACTGCACCACTTCCTTCTGGCCTATAGTGTCTTGGAAAAAGCTATATTGATTAATTAGAATTGGTTTTCCTTGGCCAGGTTTGGGAGGCAAGAGGGTCAGAAGTTTTTGACTTGTGTTAGGTTTACGCCAGGAGACCATTCCATAAACAAAATCACTTTGGTTTGATTATTATTTCTGATTCACAGAAACAAAATACAAACTTCGAATTAAAATTTCTTCTGTTTTTATCTCCTCATGTAGAACAAATCAGCTGCAGTTGTGGAACCAGAGGCACATAAATTTGACAGCACTGGATACGACAAGGACTTGGTAGAAGCTTTGGAAAGAGATATAATTTCTCAGAATCCCAATGTTCGGTGGTAAGTCACATCGCAAGATAATTGAGCTTTGGAAGATGGAGAAAATCTGGGTATGTGCCAAAGATCTGTCTTTGAAGACAATTAGAGGATCTGCGGTATAAACAGGACATAAGTGGAAAGCTGCGTCACCCACATGGTGTCTTGAGATTTTTATTCCTGTTTGTTGTGAGACAGGGATCCCTGTAGTGCAGACTGACTCCAAAATGGCTGTGTAGCCAGCACGGCATTGAATTTTGTCCTTTTGACCTGAGCGCTGACAGACATACGTTACAGTGGCCAAGTTACATAGTGATGGTGAGGGCTCCAGGGCTTGTGCTTCCTAACCAAGTATTTAACCAATTGTACTACATTATCTAGACTTTAGTTTGAAGTTTTTTTTTTTTAATATTTATCTATTTATTTATTTATTATGTATACAGCTAGCCAGAAGAGGGCACCAGACCTCATTACAGATGGTTGTGAGCCATCATGTGGTTGCTGAGAATTGGACTCAGGACCTTTGGAAGAGCAAGCAATGCTCTTAACCACTGAGCCATCTCTCCAACCCAGTTTGAAGTGTTTTTGTAACTTTATTTGTATTTTGCATTTTTAAGTTTATTATTTTATGTGAATGAGGGTTTTGCCTTTGGAGGGCAGAAGGCAGTGTCCTATCTCCTGGATCTGGAGTTACAGATGCTTGTGAGTTGCATTGTGGGAGTCAAATCTGGCATTCTGTGAGAGCAGCAGTGCTCTTATCAGTGAGCCATCCATTAGGCGCTGTGTGTGTGTGTGATATTAGGTATTGAACACAGGGTTTCATACATATGAGGCAAGTTCTTTGCGAACAGAATATTCCTAGTTCTTAAGATTCTTTTAAATTAATAAGTCATATACAAAGAGGGATTAAGAACTAATTTCATTTCTTGGGCCCCTTTCTAATGTTGAAAAGATTGAGGTTTGGTTTTTTTGTTTGTTTGTTTGTTTGTTTGTTTTAAACTTTTATTATTGCCCTGTGGTGGTACTGCATGCCTTTAACACCAGCTCTGGGGAGGCAAAGGTAGGTGGATCTCTGTGTCCAGGACAGCCAGGGATACTTAAAGAAAAAACAAAAAGCAAACAAACAAAAAAACCCAAACAAACAAACCTCTTATTCTCATGAAAAAAACAAACAAACAAGCAGAAACTCTTATTATTGTGTGTATAATGGGGTAGAGCCTGTGCTATGGCACAGATTGGAGATTGGAGAAAACTTACGTGGATTCTCTTCTCACCCACGTTTCTGTGAGTTCTGAGGACCAGAACCTCAGTCTGGTTCAGTGACTGCTTTTACACACTGAGCAAGCTCACCAGCCAGAGGTGGAGGTTTTTATGAATTCATTTGTTTATGTCTATGGCTTATGGTAGATTTTTTTTATTTGCTATTAGTGGAAGATCCTCAACTTTATTTATATCTAATAGAGGAGCTATTAATTTTTATAGTGTCTTATAAGAGATCACTTTTCTACAAGTTAGTTGTATTGTGTTACATACTTTTTATTTGTTTGTTTTTTGTTTTTCGAGACAGGGTTTTGCTGTAGCTATCAAGCCTATCCTGGAACTAGCTTTAGTAGACCAGACTGGCCTCGAACTCACAGAGATCCTCCTGCCTCTGCCTCCCGAGTGCTGGGATTAAAGGCCTGCACCACCACTGCCCGGCTTGTTACATACTTTCAACTAAAATATTTATACAGTATAAATATACATTATCCTTACACATTATATTTATGCAGTAAAATCTATTTTCATAATAAAACTGCTGCATACACTAGTAGTACTGATAGGTATTCTAGTGGCTGGGAAGAACTTCATAATGATGTTGATGTTTTTTTACTGTTGGTGTCTGCCTCTTAGTAAAGTTGGGAGCTTAGCAGCTATATCTGCTCTATGCCCTGTTTGCTATTTTTAAAATAGCCATTCTTCTAAGCCATTTGAGTTATGAAATATAAGATAAAATGCTTCAATGATAATGCAGGTTCAGCAGCCCTAATCTGAAAAATCAGAAATCCAAAAATGTACCAATATCCACATTTTAAGAAATAATTTATTTTTACTTTATGTGAGTTGTTGGTTTTTTAAAGATTTATCTGTTTATTATATATAATATATTCATTATGTATCCAGTGTTCTGCCTGCATGTATACCTGTAGACCAGAAGAGGGCATTAGGTCTCATAGATGGTTGTGAGCCACCATGGTTGCTGGGAATTGAATTCAGGTCTTCTGGAAGACCTCTGAGCCATCTCTCCAGCCCTGTGAGCTGGTGTTTTGCCTGCATGTGTGTCTGTGTCGGATACCATGGAACTGGAATTACAGACAGTTGTGAGCTGCTATATGGGTACTGGGAATTGAACTCAGGACCTCTGGAAGAGTGGCCAGTGCTCTTAACTAGTGAGCCATCCCTACAGCCCCCTCAAGTTTATTTTTTGTTTTGTTTTGGTTTGGTTTGGTTTTGGTTTTCTTTGTGTGGCCCTGGCTGTCATGGAACTAGGTCTGTAGACCATGCTTTCATCAAACTCAGAGATCCTCCTGCCTCCTGAGTATGCTCTACCACTGTCTGTCTGGTTATTGGGTATATTTTCAAGTGTAAAGAGAGGTAAATGACTTTTTTCTATGGGAACAGGCTTCCTTCTAAGTACTGGCTTGTGTCATTCATTTATCCAACTTAGGGCCTTAAGCTACATTTTTTTTAAACAAGCAAATACATTATGTTTTGAAAGTTTGGAGAGTTTTTGATGAAATTAAGCTGAACAGTTTTTGGATCAGAGAATGCTTAAGTGGTGAGGTGTATGCAAACATTTATGGTGCCAAGCTTTTCAGTTAAGGAAGTGCTTAAACTTGACTTAGGTCATATCACATCACAAATTTTAAACTAGCCCAGCAGCATAGAGAATGAATGAATGAGAGCTATGCTCTCCTGAGTTAAACTGAAAACCATTATTACCAAGAACTAAAGACAAAGGTTATCCTCTGTGTGTACTGATTAGAGCTTAAGACTAATGTTTTGTCTGTGCCATAAAATCCTGTGTGGGTGAAGGTTGTCAGGGTGATGATTATAGGGCTGGATATATAATGTAAGGGGTTGGCTGATGAAGTATCTTTTCTTTCAGGGATGATATTGCTGATTTAGTAGAAGCTAAAAAGTTGCTTAAGGAAGCAGTGGTGTTACCAATGTGGATGCCAGAATTCTTTAAGGGCATTAGGAGACCATGGAAAGTAAGTCGTCAGAGGACATGGCAGTGCTGCTGTGGAGAGCCGTTACTTACTCAGATTGGAGAAAGTGGAGTAAGGAAAAATTTAAACCAGGTGTAGTAGTTCAAGCCTGTAATCCAGTGCTCAGGAGTCTTAGGCAGGAGGATCACATTGGCTTTGAGGTAAGCCTGGGCTACATGGTGAGCTCCAAGACAGCCTGGATTAGAGTAAGACCCTATCTCCCCGCCAAAAAAATTGAAAAAGTTTATGCTGTATTTGGAGTTTTGTGCAAGGCTCCCAGAGTAAGTACAGTGTTGGGGACCATTCTGCCCGCACACAGCTCACTTAGAGTGACCTTCTGCTGCACATAGGACCCATTGGCTGTGCGCTCCATTATCATGTCACATGACTTGTCATAGTAATTTTGGAGATGATATGAAAAGGAGCTATTTAAAGGAATGTGGGTTAAGAGTGAGCATTTATCTACTTTTTAAAATATCAATTGTTAATAATTAATCTTTTGAATGAATAATAATAATTATCTTAACTGAATTTCAAACTTTTAATGTTACTATCTTCCTTTTGTGTAATAGAAAAGGTATTTGTTCCAGTAGAGATGGCTTATACTTTTAATCCCAGCAGTTTGGAGACAGAGATAGGTGGAGCTCTGTGAATGTGAGGCCAGCCTGGTCTACAGAGTGAGTTCCACTCCAGCCAGTGCTAAATTAATGAGACCCTATATCAAAAAATAAATAAGTAAAACTTCGTTATGAAATAACATTCATTTTTCTCCTTGTTCTTTGTCTCATTGTTTCATAAATTTAGTGAAATTTGATACTTGGTATTTTTCATTAGAACAAGGGCAAGCTACTGGACAAGGTGGTGTCCACTGATAGTCCCACTCCTCCAGAGCATAGAGCAGGAGGATCAAGGAGTCCGGGGGGTCAAGGCCTCGTTTGTGTTTATCTTCCTCAAAAAACAGAAAAGGGAAGGAAATGGCAATGGCAGATGAAGTCTTTGCTTACACTGTTATATGATACACTGCTCTACTCCTACAGGGAGTACTGATGGTTGGCCCACCTGGCACTGGAAAAACACTCCTTGCTAAAGCAGTTGCTACAGAATGCAAGACAACATTCTTCAATGTCTCTTCATCAACGCTGACTTCCAAATACAGAGGAGAGTCTGAGAAGCTTGTCCGTCTTCTGTTTGAAATGGTAATGTTTGAGGCAGCTCTAGCGATTCCGGACCTCTGACTTACCCCTTACATAGATAGGATGACACTCTGCGAAGGACCTCTGTAAATATGAGTGACTTGGGTTCCTGTTTATTTCCTCTCCTCCAGAGGTGGGGCTACATCTAGTTTCTGAGCATGTGCACACTATGGCATTAGCATTACTAATGTGCTATAAGAGTCTAAAATAATTAAGGTTAGAGGTCTTCCTGATCAGTGCTCTCGTGTGGCTGGCTTTGACTTGGGGCAGGCTTATAAGGGGCCTGAGGTGAGAAGCAGGAGCCAGAGAGTGCACCCTCACTGCAGCTGTTGGCGCAGAAGTCCAGGAGTCAGCATTTGGCCTCCAGTCAAAGCCTGTGCTCGTATCGTGATTAGGAGGAGGGTGTGATGAGCCATTTCTGAATGTCTCTTGGTTGGATTCTCGTAATAGTGGGCTGTTACCAACAATGGTTTGCACATAGCAGAGGTTTCCCTTACCAGAAGCCAGAGCCAATTGGTGTCCATTGAAAATCTCTCCACAGTGCCCTCCCAAGCCAAGCAGAACCAATTTGGCATGTGTCCTGTAGCCTTCACTTGAAGCAGAAGAATCAGAAATGGAGGGTTTTTCTTGGTGTGACAACATACAGAATGAAATTTAATTTTCGTTCATGTGCTTAGAACACAACAAGTAAGCTGGGTGGTGGTGGCACGTGCCTTTAATCCCAGCACTCATGAGGCAGAGGCAGGCGGATCTCTGAGTTCGAGGCCAGCCTGGTCTATAAGAGCAAGTTCCAGGACAGGCTCCAAAGCTACAAAAAAAAAAAAAAAAAAAAAAAAACCTGTCTCGAGAAACAAATAAAAAAAAACCCACCACAGTAAAAATTGACTTTTCTAACAATCTACTTAGAAACATTAAGATACATTTCATGTAAAAAAAAAAAAAAGTAAGTTTATGTAAAAATGACCATCTAACTAGGATTTCTCTGTTAGACGGATGCTATAGTGTAAAGGAATGGTTTCAGCCAAGCTTTTTCTAGAACTTGAGACTATCTACCAGTACTTCTAAATGTCCTATCATAGTTGTTCATATAATAGGGTATAGGGTAATCCTGTATTTATCACACAGATACTTTTTTTTTATGGTTGTTTTGTTTTGGGAGAGAGAGAGAGAGAGAGAGAGAGAGAGAGAGAGAGAAGAAGGAGGAGGAGGAGGAGAGAGTTTATATAATGGAAAAATGATGATGTCTGTGTTTTCATTAGAAGCTATGTTTTAGACTGTGACAGTGCCCATCTGAAACCCCAGCAGGAGAAATGGACTCAGGTCACCTTCAGCTATAGAGCAAATTGGGGATACCTGGGATTAATACATTCCTGTATCCAAAAAAGAAAAAGATGGGACAACGAGATGGCTCAGTGGTGCTTGCCACCAGGCTTGTCAACCTGACTTTGATCCCTGAGACCCACATGGTGGAAAAAGAGATTGACCACCTGCAAGTTGTCTTTATGTAAATACGCTCTGTTTCTCTTCTATAGCCACACATACATGCATACACACAAATAAATGTAATTAAAACAATTAAATATGATGCCATGGCCTCTTTTATTTCCTTTAGGCAAGAGGAAAGGTGTATGGCAGCCTCTTTAGTTGTTTGCTAGTTTTTTTAAAAAGATTTGTTGATTCCTATTTTCTGTGTAAATCTGAATGCCTGTGTGTATGTCTGTGTGTTGTGTGTGCTGGTTCCCACAAAGGCCAGAAGAGGGTGTCAAATCCCCGTAACTGGAGTTACAGAAGGTTGTGAATTGCCTGTCTGCATGATGGAAGCTGAACTTAGGCTCACCACAAGAGCAGCAAGTGCTCACATTTCCCAGTTCCTAATCTACAAATTGTTTATTTCCGTGACACTGGGCAGAGCAGGCAAGCACGCCATCACTAGGTGTATTCCCAGCCTCAGATTATTTTTAAATAAGAAAAATCAAAACCCTAAAACCTGCTATTGCTTGGTTTCTTCCTTTAGGCTCGGTTTTACTCTCCAGCTACCATATTTATTGATGAGATAGATTCCATTTGTAGTCGCCGAGGGACTTCTGAAGAGCATGAAGCAAGCCGAAGGGTGAAAGCCGAGCTGCTGGTTCAAATGGATGGTACACATATGTCTGTGCATAGATTGGGAATGAAGCTGTTTGTGGTGCTAGTCCAGCACATTCAGTATATGTGAGAACTCCAGAAGGATGAGAGAGGAGGCATTCAGGGCAAGAGATTGGATAGATATTCTTGATTGTGTGACATGTCAGAAGTAATGGCATCCACACACCACTCTTTGGCATATATATTGATTTCTTATTTTTAGCCACAATAAGTAGACATAAAATGCAAACAAATTGGCCTTAGAGGTTGTGTATGTACTTGGAATACTTCCACACATAAATTGTGAATACATTCTTATTTATTTATTTTTAAAAGAGTTATTTATTTATTTATTTATTATGTATGGAATGTTATGTCTGCATTTATGCCTGCAGACTAGAAGAGGGAGCCAGATCTCATTGCATATGGTTGTGAGCCACCATGTAGTTGCTGGGAATTGAACTCTGGACCTCTGGATGAGAGCAGTGCTGTTAATCGCTGACCCATCTTTCCAGCCCCTTGAGTACATTGTTAATGAGTGTGTTTTCATGTGTTTGTGCATCTTGTGCATACCTGGTGCCAGAGGAGGCCAGAAGAGGGTGTCACAACCCCTGGAACTAGAGTTGTGAGCTGCCACATGGTGCTGGCAATTGAAAAGCAGTCAGGGCTCCTAACTACTAAGGTGTTTCTTCAGACCGATAGGTTTGTTTGTTTGTTTGTGACGGGGTTTCTACAGTCTTGGGTGTCCTGAGATTCTTCAAACTCAGAGATCCACCTGCCTCTGCCTCTCAAGTGCTGAGATTTAAGGAATGCATCACCATGTCAAGTGATTTTTTTTTCTTTTTTAAATAATTGGTAAGTAATTAGATGAGCTGATGTTTTCATTAAATCCCTCTGAGTTGTATTATTGTGTACTGCAAAACCTCATTTTCTTGGGTCACATACTCAACGTGAGTCTTAGGGATGCTGGAAGACTGCACCACCTTGCTTCACTGTGTACAGCTTCATAGTCTGTAAAGAACTGAGCTTTATTTCTTGAATCTCACGCAGTAACTTTTATTCTCCCTACCCTTTTAGGTGTTGGAGGCGCCTCAGAAAATGATGACCCTTCCAAGATGGTTATGGTTCTGGCAGCTACTAATTTCCCCTGGGATATAGATGAGGCTTTAAGGCGGCGTCTTGAGAAAAGGATCTACATTCCATTGCCGTCAGGTATCATCAGCGAGTTTGTAATTGAGAACGGATGGTAGCCTTCCTTGAGGAGGCAGATGCATGCGCTTGCCTGTGTGGTTGTTTGGCTAGATCTAGAACCTGGAAGTCTTGATAACTTGATGAGTACACTTGCTCCAAGAATTGGAAAACAATTCCCAATACTCTGTGGGCTTGAGGTGGACATGGTGGCTTTTACCTGTAAATCCTAGTACTTCTAACTGAGGCAGGAGGATAATGAATTCAGGGGCAACCTGAGCTACATTCTGAGGCCATCTTTAAAACTGTTATCAGAAAGTAGGTTATTGCTTGAGCAAAATTAGCAATATTCTGTTCCATTGAAGGCTTATGTTTTAAAATGTTTCTCCTATCAGCAAAAGGCAGAGAAGAACTGTTAAGAATAAGTCTTCGAGAGCTGGAATTGGCTGATGATGTTAACCTTGCAAGCATAGCAGAAAACATGGAAGGTTACTCGGGTGCGGACATTACCAATGTATGCAGGTGTGTATTTCTCTCTCTCATGTTTTGTAAGCATAAACTTCAGTTGTTGGTGTTTATATTGTAGGCAAATGACCTACACTGGCCAAGAGATATAGCTCATTTGTAGAGCGTTTGCCTAGCATGTGCAAGCCCTGAGTTTGATCCCAAGTGCTACAAAGAACCCAACCCTACACTACACTATATTTATGGTTACAAGTTGGTTTTAAGTTAGTGTTAACAGGTCTTGCATTTGATGGTCCCCAGTCCACTTGAAAGCTGTAAGTTCAAGAAGCTTTGCTTCCCTGCAATATTAGATGGGAAATGACTGACGTGTATTTAATGTTCTCACAGGATTGCATAGGCTGTAATACTATAGTCTTGTTTTCAGTCACTGTGCCCTAAATGTTTTGTCCAGTTGGCTCAACACGGTGTGGCCCTGCTCCAAGTCTCAGAGGCTTGCCTACCTAGCTTCCTCGTTGCTAAGTGAGCACATCACTCAGAACTTGAGGGTCAGAGAGTATATATACAAATGAAGTTACTGCTAACTAACATTCCGTTCTGTCCTCATGATAAATACCTATTCTTTCTTGAACACATAAGGAGATGAAATTGCAAGCTTCTTGATTTTTTTATACTTTATCTTGGACTGTGTATATTCAGTATTTATTACTTGAATATTAGTATACTTACTTCATTTTGGAAGATTTCATTGCTAAAAAGAACTCAAAGTAAGCCATGTTTTCCAATGTAAGGTGCAGTGCAATATTAATGTATGTATGTAGTATGTGTAAGATCTTAAGAGAATTTGACAGTTTTTTTTTTTAATTCAATTAAAGTAACACTTTGGGCTTTTTTAAAACTTAAACCTAGGGACGCATCCTTGATGGCCATGAGAAGGCGTATTGAGGGTCTAACTCCAGAAGAAATCCGAAACCTTTCCAGAGAAGAAATGCATATGCCTACCACCATGGAGGATTTTGAAATGGCTTTAAAGAAAGTTTCTAAGTCGGTATCAGCTGCAGATATTGAAAGATATGAGAAATGGATAGTTGAGTTTGGGTCATGCTAGGTAACGTCTCACGTGTAAACTCTCAGAAATCTGCCTTAAGTCTTTGAAAAATAAGTAAATGTAGTATTTCATTGCACTGAGTGCTATATTTTTTTAAACTTTCATAATGGTGTGATTTTTAAACTCTTTCAGGTTCTGAATAAAGGCAGTGTTTTTAAGCTGCACAGTGTTTTCCTCTAGAGCTGCTTGATTTCTGCTAACTACAGCATCTCTCCCTGCTCTTTGCTGCTCTGTGGTAATAACTGAAAGCTGTAAACACTCCTACACTGCAGCCAACTACAGCGTAGCCAGGCTGGTGTATCTTCCTTCCCCTCTGGTGTCATGGTAGCTTCTCTTCCCTTTCTGTTGGAGTAAGAATAGAACTCTTGGGGCTGGAGAGATGGCTCTGGTTGAGAGTGCACACTGCTCCTGCAGAAGCCTAAGTTCAGTTCCTAGTGCCCATGTTGTCTAGTTTCAAGGGGGTAACAAAGCCTCTGGGATCCTTGGACTTTCATGGATGTGCACATGCCCAGAAACACACACACACAATTAAAACAACCCAGCTAGGGTTAGGGATATAGCTCATTACTAGGGTTCTAGCTCTACATATAACCAAGTAGTGTTACCTGCCTGTAATACTGTAGGAGAATGCAAGATTGAAGTCATGTCAAAACTTTTAATGGAAAAGAATAAAAACCACATGAAGTAAATTGTGTGTGCTAGATAACATTGTTGAAATAGGCTAATCTGAGTGACCGCTAACAAGGTGAAACGTTTATAAACGGTACTATTCAACCAGAAGGCTGAGGCTACATTTTTTTTAAAGATTTATTTATTTATTTATTATGTATTCAATGTTTTGCCTGCATGTATCCCTTCAGGCCAGAAGAGGGCACCAAATCTCATTGCAGATGGTTGTGAGCACATGTGGTTGCTGGGAATTGAACTCAGGACCTTTGGAAGAGCAGGCAAAGCTCTTAACCACTGAGCCATCTCTCCAGCCCCCATGGCTACATTCTTAATTCCATGAAGATGACAGCTTCTTTGAAAGAGCTGAACTTCACTTTCAGTCATGTATAGTGAGTGATGCTCACTTAGGTAAACTTAACCCAAACCGCTATATTTTTATCCTATTAGATGAGGGAGGGGGCTGGAGGGAGAGCCTTGTGGTTAAAATGCTTCGTGCTCTTGCATACCACCCAAGTTTGGTTCCCAGTCCCACGTCAGGTAGCTCACAGCCATTCTCACTCCAGCTGCAGGGGATCCAATGCCCTCTTTTGGCCTCAGCAGGCATTTGTACTCATGTGCACATAGCCCCCCCCCCCATGCACATAATTAAAAATAAAGCAATTCTTTTAAAAAAGAACGTTTATTTTAGAGTGAGAACATGTCACTACTACTTCTAAATCCTGGTACAGTCAAGGTCAGCAGTTGGCATGGACACAGACCATAGTACACTTCAGTGATTTCATACTGAGTCGTGTGTGATATAAAGGCACATTGTACTGGTAAAAAACAAAGTGTTAAATTCTTCAGCTTTTAAATTAGAATTTCATAAAGTGCTTCTTATAAAACCTTACAATAGTAATCAAATAGATAGAGTTTCTGCAGCAAAGGCACCTGGAAGCTATTGGCACTTGGTGTCTGTCTCACCTTTTCTTCATTCTGGTTATTTTGAAGTCACATCTTTCCCACTTAAATTTCCCTTAATAATTCATCTTTGGAACAGCCAGCCTGTGTATGGAACGAGGTAAACTCTAACTTGGCATTGTAAAGGCCAAATTTCAGGCAGTCTTAGGAATTTGGCAATTTCTATGTATAAACTGATTAATGATTTAAGTAGAATGGTATTCAGATGGCAAGTCTGGAGTCAGCAGAGCAATTCCAAGTCCACGTTGAAGATGGTGTTTTAAATACACGTTTTATTTTGAAGTTTTTCTGCTGTTTTCTCGGAGCCCTCTGGATATAAGATGATAGGTGCCACTGTTATAACATTCATCTTATCCACCTGAAGAATGCCTCTGAAATACAAGATAAGTCGTTATCGCCAGTGTCACCCAGCCAGGAGTTTGGTATACACAGCATCACTTGAAGGGTACAGTCCACCTTCTCTCTCATGGTTTATACAGGTTGTACAAACGCTTTAACCACACATGCTGAGAGACTAGAAGGGAACAAAGATCACTGCCTGGTCCTGCAGGAAGGAGAGCACAGTCTTCAGGGCAAGAGCTGTCACCACCCTTGTTGGTGAAAGGGGAGACCCGACGGCTTTCTAGTCACTGTCCACTGACACACAACCTCAGTCTCAAAATCCGTGACACACAGTAGGTTTTCATATCAAGCCAAATGTCTCCCATTAAGCCAGCAGCCACGGTCATCTTAAAATCCCAAGCTGACTGGCCATGAGCTGGTCAGACTACTGCTCTAAGTTACTCGGTGGCGTACAAGGGCAGTTTCCAAGCTGCATGCGCCATCTTACTGTGTGACGCAGTCTGCTGATAAACAATGACTCTCTTGCTCTACAACTCAGTCACCAGCTGCTGAGCACGTGAAAAGGCTGAGGATTGAAATAAGTTACTGGCTCCTAACTTAGCGAAGGAGAAGCATAAGGGCCAGGCCAGGGAAGTTACCAAGCACACCAGACGCATGGATGATGCAGTCCCCTCACCTGTGTCATGTGTAAGCCAGATGTGGTGGCACACACCTAGAATCCCCATACTCAGGAGGCACAGACTGGAAAGTCATTCATGAATTCAAAGCCAGCCTAGTCTACATATGGAGACCCATCTAAAATATCCAAACTGAACAACAAAAAGCAGGTACTCAAGACCGGAGTCACCCATCAACTAAGCAGTCACCAGGCCATCAGGAGGAACCGGTAATTAATGTTCCTAAACCTATTCCTGCCCGACAAGACTGACTGGAACTGCCTGCCATTCACAGGACCATTGTGCCTGGAGCCAGCCCTGTGCTTTGCAAGCCCAGCCAGTGTCTGAACAGCTAATAGACTGCTAATATCTAATAGTGGGCAGCGACTGCATCTCTACAGGCTGTCTGTCTTTGCCCTCAGAATTCTGTGGCCACTTTAAACCCTTTCTTGGGCATTCAGCAGCGTAACTTCCTGACCTGTAATGTGAGCACTGAGAGGAGTAGTGAAGAGTGGAGTGAAATGAAAGAACCTGTTTGCCGATGGCCACAAGTAGCCAGTGAAATCGGACACTCAGGCTTGCTGGCACACATCTGTAATGCCAGCACTTGGGAGGTGGAGGTAGGAGGATCAGGAGTCCAAAGCCATCCTCAGCTACATGGCCATACAAGCGGCAAAAGATATTTCTCTGTATCATACAAGCGGCAAAAGATATTTCTCTGTATAACCCTGGCTGTCCTGGAACTCACTTTGTAGACTAGGCTGGCTTCAAACTTAAAGAGATCTGCCTGTCTTCCTCCTGAGTGCTGGTGTGTGCTACTACTCCCTGACTATAACTTACTTTTTTTTTTTTTAAATTTAGATAACTTTTTTAAAAATTTATTTTACATACTAATCATTCTTCTCTCCCCCCTGTCCTCCCGTCCCCTCCTCTTTCCCATCCACCTCCCTCTCCATCTACTCCTCCATTCCATTCAGAAAGGGACAGGCCTATAATGGGCTTGCACAAAGCATGGCGCATCAAGTTGAGGCAGGACCGAGCTCTTCCTCTTATGTTAAGATGGGACCAGGTAATTCAGCATGGGGACCAGGCTACCAAAAGCCCGCTAAGCTCCAGGGAGAGGACCTGCTCTCACTGTTAGAAGTCTTACTAAGAGACCAAGTTACACCAACGCCACACACTTGCAGAGGGCCTAGGTCGGTCCCATGCAAGCTCACTGACTGTTGGTCCAGCATCCATGAGCTCCAGCTAGCTCAGGTTTGCTGTCTCTGTGGGTTCCCCCATCACGACCCCCCTGGATAGTAGAATCCATCCTCCCTTTCTTCAGAAGGCTCTTAGAGCGCAGCACTGGGCCTGCCCGTGTCCTTCAGTTACTGGATGGAGTGTCTCGGATGGCAATTAGGGCAGTCACCAATCTGATCGCAGCAGACAGCCATATAACTTACTTTCTAATGGTAAAGATTAATAATGTCTCAAACACATGAAGTACTTACTTGTTCTCACAAACTGGGAAAAGAACCTTTAACACGGCTATGACCCCCGCTGCTCCTAAAACTCCAACCAGCATGACGTTGAGAAACATGAAGAACACTGGGAACACACTGCCCCAGAACCGGCAGAGTGCTTTCCTGAGCTTTTCCATCCACTGGCACATTACCTGGGAAAAGAGTTTTGATCAGAAAGGCCAGTACCACAAAGTAAAATTGAAAATTTCTATTTTCTTTTGAGATGGGGATCTCTCTATGTAGCCTGGCTGGCCTCAAACTCATAGAGATCTACCTGCCTCTATCTCCCAAATGCTGGGATTAAAGGTGTGTGCCACCATGCCCGGTAAAATTTCTTAGTGTTTTGGGTTTGAGTGACAGAAACAACCTGTGTCTTGATTATAATAGTGTTATTTGTGTGTCAAAGCCAACTCAAAAAATAAAATAAGAAAGAAACCTGTTTTGGGATAAATAATGCAAAAATGAGTGCTTTTCCTTAGTTCCACAGTGATGGGATGGGGTGACTGAGGGACATACATAAATAACATGACAAAAAAATTTATTTTAAAATGTACCCAAAGAAAATCTTCTACAATCTTAAAAATTATGTTCCCAAGACACATGTGCAAAATTGTTTATCCTGCTGTCTAGCTACAAATCAAGGAAGTATGAATGCTGGCAGACTAGTGAGAACTATCCCCTGTTGCGGGAAGAAGACAAGGAGAGGAAGAAACAAACACCACAGCTTTTAGAACGGGGAAGGTCCACGGCTCTAGAGATGTTTCAGGAACCAAATATGGCACTGACCACCTGGGCTGTGAAGACAGTCTGCTCTGAGGCTGACCTGCTGGGAGGTAGGGGATAGAGGTGCCACAGTGCACACTACCCACTTAGTCAAGCCTCCCGCAACCTAAATCAGCAATCTGACCTTCAGTGAGAATTACCTGCACAGACCTTTGAGAGCAGAACTGTGTCTACAGATGGTGTATACAAGGTGAGGGCTGAGTGGAGACTCGAGAACGAGCTGTGGAACTGAAGACTCCCAACCTCATG